ACGGTTTTTTGTGGTGGAAGGGTTTTTCCTTGAGGGGTTTTGCCCGGACGCCGGGTTTCCCCTCCATATGTTACCATGTTGGTATTTTCTGATGTATCCTGGGGCGTTCTTGCCCAATTGATGGTCAGTCACTTGCGTGAAGAACCAGGGAGGGTGTTCGTGAGTCTGCGAACATTGCTGTTGGATACATGTGCTGGATGATTTTGTGTCACGCAGACTGGTAAGATAACCGTTTGATAGGGGGCACCGCGATGATTCACGGGGCCCCTCTTTGCTGTGGGAGCCGCTCTTTGAGCACTCCCTCTTTCGTCCGTGTGAAGGACGGTCGTCTACCTCCCGTGAAGTTAATACATCACCAAAACAGTCTCACCCGATAAATAAGTGGCGTAGGCCGCAAACATCACACACCTATTGTTGCATGCACTTTTCCTTGTACTCATATCTTGCGCGCGTGTGTTTCCGTGGTGTCGCAACCCTCCCAGCGCAGATTGGCATCGCGTTCATCGGACAATTGGCGACCTTCACATGTTCTGCACACAATTACCGCCTAGCGACATTTGCCAACTTCATGTGGCGTAAGGAAAGGGTTATCATGAACCGCTGGTGGCGGCGGGGAGAGGGGAAGCCGTGCAAGTGCCCGTTTGAGTACTTTCCGTGCGGCCGCCATCCTTTAGTATTCATTACCGTTATTGTCGGAGAGATGGCACCCCCGTGTTAGCGTTTTTTGTTGCGTATTTCACCACGAGCAGAGGGGTACCACCGCCGAAAAGGGCAGTTTTAGAAACATCTCCTCGAGGGCTTTCCTGAGAGGTATCGGTTGGTGTCTTCACCCTCCTAGATGCGGAGAACTACTAAAGGCTAAAGGAAAACGCCAACACGGGGGTGCCATCTCTCCGACTCTTACGATACCCAGAGGACTATTTAATGCCCTCCAAATATGCACGACCCGTCGCCGACAAAATCCTTGCTCGTTGGTGGTGGATCACATCTTTGGTGCTGGGTTTTCCCTACGGAAAGCTCCAACCATATGCCATCGTGTGGAATGGTTAGGTTGGGGCAGGAGCAAGATTCGAGGACTAGACTTGTCTAGAGGGGCAATGGAGAATAATGTTAATTTTTTTGGAGATGTAGCGATATCGGTTGTTCGATTCCCTTTCCCACCCCTGTAAGGATTGCTGTTCACACGTACGTTTCTTTCGGGAAGGTTGGATGATATCGACGTTTGTTGGTCTGAAATTGTTTTTGCACGCACAACCTAGAGTATTTCACTGCAGCAAGGTTCGTTACGGCATTGGCCCAGTCGTGGATGTGCTTCCGTAGTCCGTAGTCCTGACATTGAATATTCAGCCGACGACCGCAATCATTGATCCACAAAATGGCAAGAGATTTCACTTTTCAGCAACGAACGACAACCCATACAAGGTCGCAAAATATCCTGCAACCAGCGAAAGCACCGAAGAGACACCTCAGCGGGCCGGAAAACCGTGGATGAATGATCGTACCCTAAAGACCGATCGACACAACAGGACACCAACGATGTGGGGAAACAAGGCTTGTATACTCTTCCGGCGGGGAGAGTCTTTCACTCTCTTGTGTCACACACATTTTCTGAGAACATTCCTCGCATGTGCAGTTAGTTGTACACATACAACACCAATAGAAACTGTGTAAGCCGAGAGACTCCACCGACCGCTTGTTCCTAAAGCAACGGGCCCAGCAGTACATCACTTCCGGCCGCCGACACCGCGACGGCAGAAACGGTCTCTGGCGGATGTGCGTCACGGTTCACAACCCGGGCGCGCCGCCAGGCTTCAAGCGCCTGGAGGTTGGCGTGGCCGACGCCAGGGTTGCGAAGGGTGATGGTGCTATCAACCCGTGGCAGCTCAAAGCCGATGGCACCCCAGACATGGAGTGTATCAACTGTCCAGCAGGGTCGTACCATATAATGAACGAGGTCGGCACCGGCACCGCGTCCCACGCACACCATCAGGCAATCATCGACAAGAATCTCCTTCGGGAGCACGGAGCGCGCACCACGTTCGTGCTCGACTTCAACCCCATCGACCCCAAGACGTTCATCGACGACGTCGCACGGATCGCAGAGGGTACTGCGGACAAGGTCAAGGCCGGCGTAGGCGTGTCGGCATACGTGCGCCCTCCGACAGAAGAGCAGATCGGCAAGTCCTGTGCTTCGGAGAAATGAGAGCCTACAACAAGCAACGGGAAGTGGACGACCCGGACGGCTATAAGAAGGAGCAGGCTAGGGCAGGTGACTGAAGACAGGGAAACACTCCAGTCCCGTGGTGTTCATTCGGTCGGTGAAAGTAATGTGTTTTCATTGGTACTCAGTCTTGTTTCTACGTAGTCAACGGTGCGAGGCCGAGACATTTTTGAACATCACTCGGAAATGTTTACCCATGACCTCGGCGTTATGCTTAAGAAAAATGCGTGTGTTGTTTTTGAATGAATGAAATCAATGAATAAAGTTGTGCTTGTGCGTTATCATGTGTATGATTTCCCATTCGTTGGCGTAACCGCCCCCTTTTTGGTCGAACGACGTAGATCGTTGAAAGTTGACATCTACACGTCGGTATTCGTGCGACACATTCAGACCTGGAGGCATCACTCCTTCCTATCCTTCCAACCATGCTCACAACGAATAAATGGCCCGAAAATTACCTCGGTCGGCTTATCGTTGCCTCTGTTGTTGTTGTTGTTGTTGTTGTTAACGACGATTTTCAGGCCAAGAGGCATCACGCCTTCCTACCATGCTCACAACGATTGAATGGCGCGAACATTTCCTAGCGTATGCTCATCGTTTTCAGTGAAATTACTCCCCCGCCTGCTGTATCGGTTGCAGGCGAGAACAGCATGAAGAGAAAGGAATACATGGATACGTTAACGGATGATTGCTCCGGTGGAGGTGAGTTGTTGTTGTTGTTGTTGTTGTTGTTTGCTTTCAGCAAGCTGTAGGTCCAACCGCCAACAGCGATTGGATGATGCAAAGTATTTACTCGTGTGAGTTCAGATTATGATGTCACAGCGCGTCCGTACAGGAAGATTGAATAGTGTTAGTTATGTACTACTACATGACGAAGGAACGCCTACCAATGGGAGCCGTTCCGTACCCTAGTTTCATTGAAATCCTTTCGGCCGCTCTTGGTCTCGATTGCGGTTATTTGAACAGATTTTTTTTGCTTGTTGCCTTGTGTGAGAGGCACCCAACGCAAGCATGACATCCCCGCTCCGTTCTTCCTGAAACTACCCCCCCCCCCC